AAGAGTTCATCTCAATCTCCCCTCTGGCAGGTTCAAACCATTCCCCTTGGCCTGTCCCTCCATCCCTTGTCCAAAGCCCCTCTCCAGGTCTCCTGGAGCCCCTTTAGGCCCTGGAGCTGCTCTAAGGTGTCCCCTTCAGGAGCCTTCTCTTCTCCAGCCGCCCCAGCCCAGCTCTCTCAGCCTGTTGTAATCATCTGTTATATCACCTAAGAAACGTGTTACTGCTGGGGGTTAAAATCAGTGCATCAGAGTATTAAAAACACTAAAGCAACACCTAAAATTGCCTGAATAAACATAAATACACACATAAGCACATACCTCAAGTGCCAGGGCATGTTCAACTGCTACTAAATCCTTACATTCCTGGGTGTCCTCCCACAGACAAACACACACGGTAAAATTCAAGCTGCTTTCTGCATATTTTGTAATGAAATCAGTCTGCCATGAGGCTAATACCCCGAAGAGGCACTGTCCTTTAATGCCACAGCCCCAAAGTGGGGAGCAGACCCCACTGGGAAGGGGTAACTGGCCACGGAGCTTCGTGTGAGCGAGAGGACCAGCGTGAGGCACCGATGTGCCGCTAGATGTCCCCATCGGGCCAGGGGAGGGCTGGTAAGAGCCCGGCAGCGCTGGAGGAACACGGAGCCTGCCCAGGACACCCAGCCCTCAGCATGGACCGGCGCACAACAGGGCACTGACCCCCTTGGCAAGGAGCGGGGTGATGTCCGGGAGCTGTCACCCCGAGCGGGCACCCAAAGGTGCCCCTGCGTGATGATGCACTGGAACTGCCCAGAGAAGCTGGGGCTGCCCCATCCCTGGCAGTGTTCAAGGCCAGGTTGGACACAGGGGCTTGGAGCAACCTGCTCTAGTGGAAGGTGTCCCTGCCCGGGGCAGGGGTTGGAGCTGGAGGAGCTTTAAGGTCCCTTCCAACCCAAACCAGGCTGGATTCCGTGATTCCATGACCCCACACCCACCCACCGCCTCTCCACAGCAGGTTTTTATGTAAAGGTGATGTGACATACTCAGCTCACAGCAGGGATCTGCATCCCAGCGGCACATCCGAAACGCTGTGGCTACAGATCCGATACAAGCAGTTTGGCTCTCCTGGCTGAGCGCAGCCTTGGAGGGATTCAAGAGTAACTTTGGCTCATAGGAACTAGGGAATATCACTTAATTTTAGTAATTTTAGCCCTTACACAGTTAAGGAAACCAACACAAGCCTATGGTTTTAGCAGCCAGGCAATGTGAGAGCATCCCTGCCCAGACTAGCTTGGGTCAGGCTCCTTCCTAATGATGCCTGCATCATCTCAGGTCTCCCTTCCCTCTGCTCCCTCTCCCTGTTAACCCCAAAGCTTGTCCCTGCTCTGCTCCATTTCCAAGTCCAACCTGCTCTGCACTTGAATTACTGCAGTTGGGAACCTGCCAGCATTAATGCCTCATCCACAGTGTGTGTATCCACACAGCCCATCACACTGGCTGGTCTCCATCACACTTTGGCTCCTCTCCATAGGGAATTTGGTTCATTCCTTATCTACTGGCATTTTAGGAGCACTCAGAGCAATTAAAACCTGGGGGGCAACAGCCTCTGGGCAAATCCTTTTAAAAGCAGGTTCTCTCTTGGAGGAGCCACAGGAGACACTCTAAACCCAACTATTAGATGGGGAGCACAACACCAGCACTGCCCCCTCCTCACAGCGAGAGATGGGAGGAACTGTCAAGTCTGGAGGGGAAAAAAGTCTGATTTTGGGAATGTTTGGGATTCAGTAAAAGGAAGATAGAAAAGAGGAAGCAGAACTCCTTCCTCACCCTCTCACAGACAGCAATATTGGATACAAGGACCCTTTCTGTGCTGCTTACCAGGCTTTCTGCAGTGAGCTCGGGCAGATCATAGACTGTGCAGTGAGGATAATCCAGGACGGAGATGCTGTGGAACACAGGGAAGAAGGGACTTGTTAAAACCATCACATAGGAAAGCAGCTTCTTAAGATGATGTCCATGATCATGCCCAGCAATGCATAACTCCACTGTCCCTGAGGCTGGAATTGCAATGGCAGCGCTGCCTTACGCAGCAAGGACTTTGGATGGGGAGCAATCCCATCTCCAGCGAGCCACGCTGGGCACGTGAAGCACCCACAGCCAGTGCCATGGATGTGCTTCCCTCCTGCATTCCAGCTGCAGGGATGGCATCCAAACGGGCTCCCAGCCTCACCACCACCTCATGTCTCAGCTTAATGGAGCATGTCAATTCCTCCTGGCTCCGACCCGCATCCTGAGTGCATTAACAGGGACTCGAAGGGTTTGGATCCATTAAGACATGACAGATCAGTTATTCATACGCATATTTAACAAAGGAAAGAACACCCAGCACCAAAACAGATCTTAGGTTACAACAGAGACACCTGGTTCCCAGCAGGAACAGTTAAACCTCCCTGGATCAGAGCATCCAGCTGCAAATCCAACCTCATTTTCCAGGTGTGCATCCTGCCTGTGCAACCTCCATCAGACAGCAGAGGAGGGAGCAAAGTGCTCCTGAACTACTTTTCCTCACCACTTATGTGATGTTAAAGCACGGGATCAGAAGCAGAAATGTTTATCAGCAAGAGAGTTCATATATTGCTTTGTATTTTCCATATGTGCCTCTTGCACATACACAACCATTCCATGCAGGAGACACACACACAGCTGAAGACCAAGAAGAAGAGCATCAAAAAGCAACAAAAAGGATCATTTCATGGTTCCAACAGTAAAATCCCTGCACTGCTCCCCTTGAAACCCTACTGAGCTGTGAAAGAGTTCATAGGATCATAGAGCCACAGCCTGGTTTGGGTGGAAGGGACCTTAAAGCTCCTGCAGCTCCAACCCCTGCCACGGGCAGGGACACCTTCCACTAGAGCAGGTTGCTCCAAGCCCCTGTGTCCAACCTGGCCTTGAACACTGCAAGGGATGGGGCAGCCACAGCTTCTCTGGGCACCCTGTGCCAGCGCCTCAGCACCCTCACAGGGAAGAGCTTCTGCCCAAGAGCTCATCTCAGTCTCCCCTCTGGCAGGTTCAAGCCATTGCCCTTGTCCTGTCCCTCCATCCCTTGTCCAAAGCCCCTCTCCAGGTCTCCTGGAGCCCCTTTAGGCACTGGAGCTGCTCTAAGGTCTCCCCAGAGCACAGCAGAGGGGCAGGATCCCCTCCCTGAGCTGCTGCTCACGCTCTGGGGGTGCACCCAGCACACGGGGGGGTTCTGGGCTCAAGCACACGCTGAAGCCGGGTCATGGGGAGCTTGTGGAGTTGTCCTTCAGTTCTTACACTGACCTGCAGAGTCCAATCAGTTCTACAGAAACTTAAAACAGGGCCAGTGTCCTTCTCAGATCAGAAGTAACAACAGTGACAACTCTGCACAGCCTGAAGAAGTCAGGAAAGATGAATTATAGGAAGCAGAAAGGACCTAGAACACTTTATCCCATCCAGCCTTTTTGAAGCTGTGGCCCACAGATGCCCATTGGCACTGGACTGCTCTGCAGGAGTCCATGCAAAGATGAGAACAAGCCTCCTGTCAGCAGGGAGACAGGTCCACATGTATCCCAGTGGTCCAGTAGGACACTGAGAAACCCCCATCCAGTCCTCCCCATCAAGCAGAAGGGATTTGCTCCCTCCAGCGTATCTCTGTAGTGGAGACTGTACCGCCCCAGACCAGAGGCCACTTGGTCCCACCACAGATTCACGTGTTAGGGTTCCTCATGTGCAAAGCCTCCCTGCTCCATCACCTCTCTGCTCCCCAGAAGAGGCTGTACCTGTTTTTGGCAGTGATATAAGACATGATGTTTTGGTTGAAGAACTTCAGGATCAGCGGGATGCAGTTGGCAAACACCAAATGCTGGGACACGTACTCAAACTGAGGAAGAGAAGTGAAATGGGTCAGTGTTAGCTGGAATAACTGGGAGCATCGCTGGGAATGAAAAGCCATTTCCAGCCAGGAGCAAAGGAGTCGTGACTGTTTGCTCCAGGCACGTCAAAGACCATCTCCCCCTTGCAGGAGTCTGCTGGATAAGGCAGCAGCATGTGCAGCAGCACCCACCAGCTGGAGGGCACACAGACATTATGGAAGTAGTTTAGAATCATGGAATGGTTTGTGTTGGAAAAGACCTTGAAATCATCCAGCTCCAACCCCTGCCATGGGCAGGGACACCTTCCACTAGAGCAGGTTGCTCCAAGCCCCTGTGTCCAACCTGGCCTTGAACACTGCCAGGGATGGGGCAGCCACAGCTTCTCTGGGCACCCTGTGCCAGCGCCTCAGCACCCTCACAGGGAAGAGCTTCTGGCTTATCTCCAACCTAAACTTCCCCTGTTCCAGTCTGAACCCATCACCCCTTGTCCTGTCACTCCAGTCCCTGATGAAGGTCCCTCCCCAGCATCGTTGTAGCTCCCTTCAGACACTGGAAGGCCGATTCCAATGCTGGTGGCTCACCCAAAAGCAGACACAAAAGCAGAATCAGGGGGAGAAGCCCCCACAGCCTTCTCCAGACTTAGCTGCAGACTGCCAGGGTCCTGCCATGGAGGGATAATGAGAGGAGCTGCCTTGGGAGTGAAGTGACACAAACCAGTGAAGGGACACGGGGAGACCCAGAGCAGATGTAGGATTGTAAAGGGGGGGCTTAATTTATCCAGTCCAACGTATGGTATTTATCCTCAGATAACTCCCAAGGGGTTCCCAACACAGGTGGGTTTGTACCATGCTGAAACCTTCAAAGAAAGGCAAAACCATTAAAACCAAATTGTTTGACTTGTAGAATGGTGGGAACTGGGCACAGGCCACAGCTCACGTCAGAGCTCAGTCCCTCTGTCATCAAGGGGAGCCCTCATGTGGGTGCACTCAATGGGTGCCACGCAGATGAAACAGAAATCAGGCTGCATTTAGGAGCCAGACCTCCAGCCTCTTGAAACTGGAGCCCAAGAACTTGATCCTGCCGAGGGACCCAGGACCAGATTAGTTGACCTCATGAGGTCCTGCCCAGCTCTATTTCTGGTCATTGGAGATGTCAGAGCAAAAGGCAGCCTTGTCTAACCCCAGTCTCCTTCCCCCTCGATCAGAGAGGTTTGTGCTTGGGACAGCTCCTACATTTGAACCTGAGGAGCCACGGGGTGAGTTTTTCCAGAAGCTGGAAAACTCCTTGCATGTGAGTGGAAACAGTCTGGATACAGTGCAGCAGGTTATCCCTGCCTGCAACCCTATCCCTACCCGAATCCTGCCCCACAACTAGGGCTCACTGCTATGGGAAGTGAGCTGCAGCTCCTCATGGAAACCCATCCTGGAGAGGTCTGTTTAGAACAGGGTCTATCAGGTCCCACTGGCTTCAAGATGAGCTTGGTAATAGCTGAGCCTCACCTGGTAGATGTGGTTCAGCTTGAAGTGCTTGAGGAGCAGCAGCAGCAAAGCCGAGATGCTCTTCACGATGATCTCTTTGTGTCTGTTCACGTCAATCCCCAGCTTCATGCTCTGGAGAACGGTGATGCTGGGGTGGAGGGAAGGGAAGCAGCAGCACAGTGGGAATGGGAGCAAGGAGGATGAAGGGACTGTTGAGTTCATACTCATTCAAACAAGCTCTGCAGAAACAGGGACCTTCGCTTCCCCTTTGGACTCTCATTTCATAGAATCATGGAATGGTTTGTGTTGGAAGGGACCTTACAGCTCACCCAGTCCCAGCCCCTGCCCCGGGCAGGGACACCTTCCACTAGAGCAGGTTGCTCCAAGCCCCTGTGTGCAACCTGGCCTTGAACACTGCCAGGGAGGGGGCATTTGCCACCACCCAAATCTATCCAAAGAGCTATCCCCGGGTCTGGAGCCTCCAAAACCTATTGGCAAACCCCAGCTCTGTGCTCTGCCCAAGACATCACGTGCCAGAGCTGGGATGGATGGTGACCACCTTGTCAGGGACTTACGGCATCTCTTCAGGCAACACGTCTGCCAGGATGTTGATGGAGTCGGTCTTGGCTTTGGAGGTGGGTGCTGCAGCCAGAAGGATCTTCAGCAAAGCTATCTGCAGAAGAGGGCAGGCGTGGAGGGATGGTCCCAGGATGGGACATTCCTTCCTTCTCCTTCCCCTGCTGGAACCAGACAACTTCAAGCCAACTTCATAGAAACCCTATCACCAGCCCAAGCTCTGCTCACTGTGACGGACCAACTAAGCCAAGGCTCAACCTCTCCATTCATGGCCTGTCCCTGAACAGACAGGCCATAAAGATCACCCAGTTGCAGCCCCTCCTGCAGAGCAGGATTGCTCCCACTCCTCTGCACACATCCTATTTTCCAGCCACTGACCTGTCTCCAACCATCTGACTGTGTCCCTGTGTATCTACACCCCTTGACCCTCTGTATCCCTCCCCTTGGTCCCCACTTCCCACCCGGCTCTGCTCTGGATTCCCACCAGAATCCCACCACTCAAGCCCACTCAGCCCCGTGCTGAGCTCTGAGCTCACAGCTCAGCACCGTTCCCCCCTCGAAGGCTCTTCTGTACTTGCAGGAACCACAATCTCACCATGTACTGGGGGAGGTTGTACAACATCGCTCGATACAAGACCTCACAGGGGGTTTCTTGGACTTCCTCTTCCCCCTGTAGCACAGGGAAACATGGGAAACAAGGGAAGGTGAAGTATTTCCACTCCACTTGAGGTACGTCAGACACCTCCACCAAGCCCAGCTTGAGGACCTAACACTGGAGGCAGCTGCATGCTGACTGCTCCAGGCCTTTCTCCACCGCCTCGTTTGACCAAGACACAGACCTTTAGAAAAAATAGCACCCAAGGTATGTCCTAAGGATCACAGGGATTTCTGTGACACTTTGGAAGCCTTCCACATGTCCATCTAGTGTTGGGGTGCAGCAACTTCTTACCAGAGACATGGGGCACTTCTCCAGCTCCTCCTCGTTCTTGATCTGGATGTCTGAGATGGAAACGTACTTGTGCTGGCAAAATACACAGACAAAGGCAGAGGAGCATCATTGCACCTTTATCTGGGCGAGGTGTGTGGAGAACTCATCTTCGTGTGGACACCCCTCTGTCCCTGAAGCCCCTCACACACGATGCCTTTGCTTACTTCCACCTACTCCTTCCAGGATCTTCCTGTGAGTACATGGAGAGGGACGATCTCCTCCAGAAGGCAATCCAGAGCTTAGATAGGGTCAGTTGGCCTCTGGAGGTGTCTCACTCCATGTGAAGCACTGCGGGAGCCAAGGCTGGCCACGCTTCCCCTTGGGAATAGCACAGGTCTGCCACCTTCAGAGCACATGGCAGATGCTCACCAGGACACAGCAATGCCATAGCTCAGACAAAGGGAATGTCCAAGTGCTGGACAATCCACTTGGAATTGCAGCGAGGACTCAATTTTCCTTTTTTTACCCCAATTCCTGCAAGAAGCTCCAGAAGCTTTTCCTGGGATCTAACAAGAAGGGATCTTCTTACTCCCTTCAGTAACTGTGCTTCAGGCAGAGGTTAGACATGAGGATCCCACACTGCACATGGTGGACATCCAGCCCCTCTCAAGCTGTTCAGGCCTGGACTGGCTTCATCAGATTGACTTCCCAAGGCAGGGAGAGCAAGAGCTCAGATGGAATGAGGAGGAGCAGAAGACTAAATTCCCATGAAATCCCCATTTACTGTGGGCTGAGACCCTACATCCTTGGAACTTGATGGAACTCATCCTAAGTTCTGTGTCACAAAGTTTATGTGGATAAGACCTGATGCCCTGCAATCCCCCTAGGACCTTAGTGACCTTGGCCAATGATTTCCCCACCCCCATGAGATCCCCATGGATCTGATCCCACCTCAGAACATCTGCTGAGTGTCAGGGAGCAAAAGTAGCAAGGGATGAGGTCAGAGAAGCTGACTGCTGCTCAGCAAGGCTTTCTGGGCATGGAGCCACCATCTTACCTGCTTCAGGGTCTTCACGCTCTCATGGATGGGCCGTGGCAGCCCTATCAGGGTCTCCGTGTCTCTGTGGAGGAGGAGAAGAGTGTAAGTCCAAGGCTGGGAAGGAGATCTGTGTTCAAACACTCCCATGTCAGACAGGGTGAAAGAGGGAGCCTGGAGCCTACTGAACACATCCCAGATGGGCCAGGAACTGGGAAAGGCGGCAGGAGCTGCCCAACCTCCTCCCAGCAAAGCCTCCACTAGAGGAAGGGGCATCAGGGCAAGAACTGGGGTGAAATCAGGTCTCTGCACGGAGGCCTAAAACCAGCCACACCAGGATGACCCGATGTATTCAAACCGGAGCATTTGCTGTGGATACTGGGTTGTTTCCACTCTCTCCCACATCAAACCAGTCTCAGGCTTGGGCCGGGGTCACCTATTCTGGGCTAGGTCTGATTTTTAATAGAAAGAGGTCCTTGGAGACCAGCATCTCCAAGAACATGTTTTTCTAACCCGAGTGCATTGCTGCAGTGGAGCCAGCGCTGCCCCATCCCAAACGTGCTTTGGGCTGTTGAGTTCATAAACCCTTTGTGGACACCTCCCTCCAGTTAAACTGCACGGGTGGGAGTGATGGGACAGACTTGGCTGGAGCCACACACGAAACACTCACTGTCCCAGCGTGAATCCGATGAATTTGTTCCTGCTTGCCTCCAGGAAGTGCTCGATGTCTTTCTGCCTGATGGAGCAGCAGAGGGACGAACACGGGGAGGAGGTCAGAAAACAGACATACACCGGATCACAGCCTGCACTGCTCAGAGAGGACAGTGTGGGGCCAGCAAGAACCTTTGAGCTTCCTAAGATTGATTTCTGGAGGTCTTAATAGCAGTGACATGCAACCCCCACTGCTCTCATAGGAGCAATGTGAGCTAAAACCGGTTGTAGTTGCTGTGCAACTCCATGGAAGCGCGCAAGTAAATGCAGAGGAGCTGTCTACAACCAGCTCCTTTTAACTCATAGAATCAACGAGGTTGGAAAAGACCTTTAAGATCATCAACCATTACCCCAGGGCTGCCAAGGCCTCCACCACATGCATCTCCAAGCAGCATCTGCTCACTCTGAGTGACCAAATGTTGTCTCTGCAGTGTGGCCCAGCACGTGCTGCGCCGAGAGCGACCTGACATCTTGGCCACCTTGGGCACCATTCATGAGAACCAGTCAAGGGCCTCAGCGCTACACGTAGGACATGAAGCATGAGCCAAGGCTCCCACAGGCAGAGAGAACCCAGCTGGGCTTCCAGGCACCAGCCAAGGCAAACAAGCATGAAGTTACGTGGAGTGACACAGCACCACGGGTACGGAGACCCAGGTGGGACACCAGTTCTTGCTGTGTCCTGCAAGGAGTGCTCTGGATGGACACACTTAACCCTGGCACTGCTCCCTCATCAAAAACCTGCTTTTGTGTTTCAAAGATACTGGATTAAATCCAGGCTTCGGATCTACAGCAAAAAAAGCTCACATGGATAAGAGGGAAAGGGGCAGAGGTTGTCACCCTCTTTTCCTAATGCTCCCCCATACCACATGTAGCAGAACTGGCCTTATGAAGGGAAGGCACCAACTTCTTTATCCTTCTTTAAAGATCCTTTTTATCTTTCCTCTCCCACTTTTCACCTTAGAGCAAGGCCACTTCATCTGGCAACACAAGAGCCCCACTCGACAAGCAAGAGGCAATGGCCTGAACTAGATCCCAAGGTTAATAGTCTAGAACTTTGCCCCACAGAGATCCGTTGGTGCCTGTTGGGAAAGCTGACCCTGCTCCCACAACTCCAGCACGAGCCTCTTCCCAGCACAACTGGGATGTCCAAATGGGATTGTCACTTATTACCCAAGCTTGGCCACGCTTGGTTTGTAAAGCCTGGGGAGGAGCTCAGGTAAACCCAGCCCAGAAGGGACCAACTGAGAAGTGGAGTCCACTTGCCACAGGCTGACCCTCGCCTCCAGTGAACCACGGGGAAGTAGGACTGGGGAGGGTGGCAGTGACACAAGATGCTTTTACCTGACTTTGGGGGCCCAGGGAAGCCCTTTGGGGAATGATACCCTCTCAATAGGCGGGCGCTGAGCCGGCATCATGGGGATAACCGCATCCCGCTCCATCAGGTCCAGCTCCCCCTCGATCCCGTTGTCCATGTCATCGTTCTCCTCTTCATCGACTCCTGCTTCATCATTTTTGAAGGGGTCTCTCTCGTTGTAGATGTCCAGGCTGTCTTGCTTCACCAGGGGCTGCAGCAGAAGGGGAAGGAGAAATTCAAGTCACTCCATGGATTCCATTTCCCTCCCAGCTGCTGGCTCCAGAGTTCTACGTTCCGGGAGGATCAAGCTCCCAATTGTTCCTTCAGTTGAGGTTTCCCTCCTACCTCTTGCCACCAAAGCCTGGACAAGGAAGAAATCCCCCTGTACCTCTAACCTTGCTGATTTAGGAGGTGTGACCCCGTTTCCCATCTTAACTTTTGGAGCTATGACCTGACATCTCTCCCCCACCAAAGTAAGTGCATTTTCATCCTCAGACCATAACACAGCAACTCGGAGAGTGCAGCTAAAAAAAGACAAGTTTGCTGGGAGCAGTTTGCTCCTTGGTGCTTATCAGCCTTTTACCATAAGGTCAGGATGTCCTCCCGCTTTCTCCAGATCAAATGCATCACGGGGCTGATCTGCTGCAACTGAAACTGGTGGATGAGAAGCTGCCCAGGACCTGGCTTTGTGTGTGCTTGAGCCCAGAACCCCCCCGTGTGCTGGGTGCACCCTCAGAGCGTGAGCAGCAGCTCAGGGAGGGGATCCTGACCATCTGCTGCGCTCTGGGGACACCTTAGAGCAGATCCAGGGGCT